CATGCCAACCTGTTGAGTCATTGCCTGTACAGGCATAACTGGAAGGGATCCAAACTGCTGCAAGCACACAAAAAGACATAATATTAGTGAAGATCAAGCATGCTAACATGCGTGGGTCACAATATGTTAGGAGGGATGGTGGGAGGGACGAGGGGAGGGAGGATGAAGGCGGCGGAAAGAAAGCGAGCAAGAGAGGAGAGAGATACCTGGCCAGTCGCTAAAGGGAACATGTTTGGGAACATCCCAGGAATGGTCGGACTAGTCCCAGGAATTTGCCCTGCAAAAAAAATTAGATCGCATTTCAGTCATCAGATCAAATTTAACTTCTAGGACTAATTGAATGTAAATACCAATGACTCCTCTGCCACTTAATTTTCCATGAAAATTCATTAGATTAAGGATATCCTAACCTTCAATTTTATAAAGTCTATCAAAAGGAGATGAAAGAAATACATCATTTACAAGTTCTGGAGGAAATATTTGTAAGACTACCAAAAAAAGGCAATAGTTGCCGGTTGAAGACGAACAAGATCCATCAAACCGGTGCATTGATTCCTCCTTGTACATAAAAGCTACAGAAGTCGGCTCACACCCATTGTCATCACAGTGGGGCAAGTAGCCCAACATTGCCTTCTTACAACAAAGGACAAGACATAGAAACAAACAAACAAAAACACCAAACACAAGAAAAAACCAGAAAGATCTCTCAGTCCCAGAATTATTTCACCAAGTAAACAATAAAAAATCATAACCCGTCCACAGACCGCAGATTTATAAAGGCTATATGCACAAGTGAAGGAACAAAATATAGCTTACCAAAGTAACACCATCAATTGGATACGAACTTTCCACACTAGTCCAACAAAGACAAAAGGCAGTTAACAAAATATAACAATCCTACGTCTAGGAGTGAAAATGTACCTGCTGCAGCAACGGCAGCACCAGCTAACATTGCAGAAGCAGGAGGCGCCATGTCAAAACCGCTAATCCTTTTGCTGCAAGAGTTAATGTCAGGATACCAAGAACAAATATAA